TTCCAACCTTAATGATTCTATGATTTTAACTAACATTTTTCAAATCAGAAAGCTAAATTTAGAGGATTAATAAATGTTTCTGAATTAAATTAGATAGAATAAAGTACATCTTCATTTTGCAAATTGTGCATGTCCCAGTTGACTTGAATTTAACTTTTTCAAAATGTAATTTGAATGATGAAACCACCTACCCACACCCCGCTTCTCCTCCCACAACCCACACGTTTCCTTAACGAAACTACAGGAATTCAGGATTCATTCTTGAACTGATAAAACAAGCAAGGTTAGGCAGAAGTCAGTGACCCCTTTTGTCCACCACTTTCGTCAAGATACAGTTTCCACCTTCTGTTAGCACCCTGTTCAATTCTCAACATCTCTACTTTAAGTAACCTGAGTAAGTCTCCAGCAAAGCAGAGTTTCAATCCCAAAGCTCCTGTTGTATAGCAAGAAGCAGGGCAACTTGGTAGTAAACAAGAACTTACTGTTACAAAACAGTAAATCCAATTTTAAAAGGTTTTTTAGCACATCCAAGATTACTTATTTTAAGCTGGGAAGTACATAGTGACTAGTGCTTCTGTAGAGTTCCTTGACAGTAAGAATAAAGTGACTTCCAGGTGAAGAAATTAAGCTGGAAGGTCAAGCAGATCAAGAGCATTGACTTCAGCTAAGACACACTAAACAACCTCACTGTAAACACAGAGAAGGGCCCCCCAACAGCAATGTGCTATCAGATTTGTTACCACAGAATCACTGCACATGATGAAGTCTTAGGTCCTGACCATGTTCTTTGACCTCTGAAAACAGTGTTGTTTCCCCACCACTACCCACCCTCAGAGCAGCTGCACAAAGAATTTTACTCAAAAGCTATCAAGTCCACATTTTTATACTACAGGTACTCAGCTGAGACCCATTAACTATGGAAACAATAGAGGTGGGGCACTCATGCAATGGGGAGGACGTAACTGCTAATAAAAAGGAGGACACGGAATAGTGTGAATTTGCCTGAGAAGTAAAAGCTTACAACAGCAGCTAGTACTTTACTGTTCATCATATGGAAAAACTGAGCATGCTGTTAAGGAGTTGGTGTGTTACATGAGCTTTAAAGAAGTCCAGCGAGCTGCATAAACTGTCTTGGCACTTACCAAGAAAATCTGTGGTGACAATGCCAGACTGAAAGCTTACAGTGCCTTTATTTGGCATGTTGCATCCCACTGTGCCACTGATTTATGTGGCAAAATGAAATATGACTGCCTTGTGGGACTGTTTTTTCATTGCTTACAGATGGTGAGTTAGAACATAAGCAGCAATAGAAAACAATTTTTGGCTTAACAGAACAGCTGTAATTATCATAGGAATATAAGCATACCCACAATAAAGGCTTGATTCCCATTGCAGAATGCATACTAAACAAGTGGTCTAGACACTCCTATGAACCCAGGATCCTCAAAGAGTCGAGACATGAGGGCAGAAATCAGATTACCAGCATTTTAAGTTATACTTTAAAAGGAAAAATCTAGTGTTTTGAAGGCTTTATTTTCAACTATTCAAGATAATTAGATGAGAGAGGTAACTATAAATAAATTGCATAAGTGAGGAGCAAACAAGACAATTTGTTTTGCATAATTTATACTGTCATCAGGCCTTCCTCATATTAGTACCAGAATAGCAAGGAATGCAGTAAGCACTCCAAATCCTCCTAGCGAGATGGTTGCTTAAGAGTTGCAACCTCACCTCATAGGAACAGCTGAACTGTTTTCCAACAAACAGCTCTGAAAGAGAGACACAATGAAATAACACATCTGCTTCCCATTAATACATAATAGTTATCAAAAGTTGTTCTCCTGGAGGCTGTAGCAGAAGGCTGTACTACTTAGTGAGGATCAAAACCTAGTTCTCTGCGGTTGTAGCTCCCTATCTGCATGTTGATGCAATGAGATGCTGCAGTGCCCATTAGATTCTGCTCAAATGGCAGCATGGCATGAAGTTGCTCTCTAGAGAATTCTGAATGTCTAATTAATCTTCTTGAGTGTAGTTAGGGATACAGGTTACTAATTAGCATTTTAACTAGGAGATGCAATCCTGTGCATCTTTACTGTTAAATCTACTTTTCATTTCATGTTCTTGATGCATGCAAATTTGTGAGCTGTGCTTTTCAATAGTACTGCAAGGTAGGGAAATACCTGTCTTGCCAATGGAGAACAAGTACAGTACAGAGGTAAATACTTGTGCAAACTCACACAGGAATTCTGTCCAAGCAAAAAAAAACACCTCAAAAAACAAAGAAAAAACCCAGAAGAGAATGTTTAATTTAAGACAGCTCCTGAAATTAAGGGTCTTCATCCATTTGGTAATCTGAAAGTTTAAAAAGCAGGGGGGAAAAGAAGCCCTCTCAGAGTTATTTTAAAAAATATATATATATTTAACCAGTCTCAAGGAACTTAGAGAAGGAAGTTAAACATGTAATATATAATTAAGATGGAAAACTCTCTCAACAATAGATATGAGCTATCAGTATTCAACTACAACTGTTACGCATTTTCAGGCTCCAGAGTTTAAGCCTACAAACGTGAGTAAATCTCTAGCCTCTACAGAGAGGAAGGCTGAAACTGAAAAGCCACTTAGAGCACAATATAAAGAAGGCAGAATTAAGGTGAGACAAAAACTTTACTTTCACTTATGGCTTATGAACTGCTGCCAGAAGAACCTGGAGAAGAAAAAAACCCTTCAGATTTGAAAGTTTCACCATTCAATGCTTAAGCCCTTTTTTCCTTCTTGTATCAGCTAATTAAATGTTTCTTCTGACTTGTACACATTTCAGAAGCCTTGTTTTGCCACCTGAATGCTGATGTTGAGAAAGTCGTGTTATACAGTAAAAAAGATCCAAAAAAAGCGGAGATTCAGAAGTTCCTTACATGCTACAAAGAAAATGCATTTAGTGTTCCGTGTTCTAACTACATTCATATTTTTAACATACCATTTGCTTTTCCATCAGCTTGTTTACCTTAAAAGTATCATTTGTGCTGCAGTGCAAGACATCTATTTTTGTTGCCCTGGGTCCATGATTATACACTGAATTCACTTATTGAATGTAAGTCAGCTTAAGAGGCATATACTCGAAAATTTACAACAGTTTTCCCATTTTATCTTAAACGTCCCCCTGTACACAAATGGATGAAGGCACAGGATGTGCAGGCTCACAGCTTTCATATTAAAGTCTTTTGTTGAAACTGTTCCACCTGTTCTCAGCCCTCTAAGAAAAAAAGAGTCTTGAGGACTCCACTTTGTGGAAGAGCTCTATAAAAGCCTGAAGGATGATTTTAAGTACTAAGGAGAAAATGAGAAACGTTAGGTACGTGAATTAGGAAATGTTAATTTCATGCACTTTAGGAACACACACTCACACCCCACAGTAGTAGAAGCAGTAGTAGAGGAAAACACTACATGTGTAGGGGTAGAAATATTTGTTACATCATGGTGCTGGCTGGCGATGGAGGGTTGCCGCCTTAAAGCCCCCTGAATGGTACTTCCACTCTGGAAAGCATTCACTACATCCATCTGCAAGGAATCAGAGATTGTGACAGATTGCTCAGCAAGAGAGAGAGAGAACAAGAGAAAGGACCATCCCATCTATAACACACAAAAAGTAAAGAAAAAAGGCACTTTTTTTTATAGAGCAGATACACAGGCAAGAGTTGCATTTAGAGCTGAAGAAAACAGAGAACCCTGAAGGATTACACTTCCATCCATACCCCCTCTTTTGACAGTCTCAGTCACACCAGTTAGAACTGCCACCTTAGTCAAAGCACTGGAGATGGAGAGATTTCCCTCATAATACCCACTGCATCCTACCTTTTTCAAGACCATACCTGAGTTTGTATCCTGTTTAGGCCCCTAAACCACAAGATCTGACCACGACGCAATTCTCTTTCCGCGTGATCGATCTCCTCTACATCTTCTGCTAGTTCTTCTTCAGGAATCTCTTCCTTTTGTGTTCCGTGACCAGCTTCTTTAAGGAATTTCAGGCGGCTGGTTGGAATTGTTGAAATCAACTAACGGTGAATGAAAAATAGGAATCAGGATTTTTTTTTTTTTAATAATAAATGCAATACCAGACTTAAGGCTTAACATAACATCCTGCATACAATTAACAAAGTTGAAAAAAATAAATTATGCAAATGGGATGAGTGCATTAATGTAGAGCGATCACTTGAGGTGAACAGCTGCAAGGCTGTGAATATCCTTACTACCTCAACTGAGGTGTGAAATTAAGCTTGGACTATAAACCTAGAAAACAAAACATCCTTACTAGGGACAAAGAATTCCACTTGAACATCACTTGACTATACCAGGAAGGAGCAGTACTGAAGCTATAAGAGCCATTAATTCTGTAGATTGTGCTTGTATCTAGAGCTTTCAGAGCTCCGTCAGTTTGATAAGCATGTGCTACCTCAAGTGAGAACTACATAATTTAATTAAAGTAGGCACATTTAATTCAGAAACACAGAACAGATATACATTCTTTTGTGACCTGGAAGGTATCAATCCATTTGCAAGGCGAGCAATGTTTCCAAAAATCCTTATCCCAAACCGTTACTTTGCTACTTGGTGTACACTAGTTCATCTGTCTTAAGCTGAACAAAAGCTACACATGGCTGTTCCAGCTTTCCTTTTCATCCCCACCTTCAGGGCTATTCTGGTGAACTATGTAGTTAAGGGGAGCCGTCTTTTGATACGTCCCATCTAGTAGATCCAAATCAGTTCCAAGACTGCTTTCCTTGATCATCACAAGCCTGGAAGACCATTTCAGCAGCTGCAGAGGAAAAAGACTGCTCCAAAAGCAAGATAAATAGGCCTCCATGCCAACATTGCTACTAGGAATGCTCCCTGATCACAGTTAGTTTCTCAGAAAGTCAAAAGCTCTTTGACTTTAATGAGATGCTAGAGCAGCATGGAAGCTTTGCCCTTGCAAGACACTTTGGGTCAAAGGTATTTCAAGCCATATCAATTCTCTTCTAGGCTACTTTTAAACCTCAGAGTGACTCTATGTGATTTTTTTTAAATAATTAATTTTCCAGATAACTTTATTAAAAAGCTTATACCCATTTTTAGAATATTTGTCTGTGTATGTATTTACAACTAAAATTCACCCTATCAATTTTATACTGAGACCTGAAGTGTCCTTTACAAAATGGAAGGAAAGAAACTGTAATGGAAAACTCCTGATGTGGTATGAAAAGTTTAGACAACTATGTCATTAAATAATGGAAAACTCCATAGCTCTAAAGTTTCATGTAAATAAGCTTGCTGCTTACAAGCACTGTTGTGTATGCAATAGTAATGAAACCCTAAGTGGGGAAAAAAAAATATCAAAATGACATAGCTTAACAGGTGGAAGAACTTTCCCATTATTTCATAATTATGCAAATGAAGATTAAAGAGAAAGCTGGTTTTAGTTTTGCTGCATTTCTTGCTATTCCAGGAATTTTAAATCAAGAAAATACTAGCAAGTTTAACAATTCTGATTTTTCAAGAAAACCATTCAAGACTAAGTTAAATATATTTCAACATTAACATGTTCATTGCATCTGTATTCTCACGGAGCTTCTTCTAGTACTTATCTGGCTAAAGATACAATTTCATATTAAAAAGGAAACTACAGCTGCTTTTAGTTAAAAGTTACTAAACATAAATCAGCAATAGCATCTAGTTACAAAATGTAAGTAACTGACTAAGTCAGAGTAAGGAATATCCGGCTAAGGACTTTCTAGCTATTGAACTAGTCAATTTTAAGCAGCATTTACTGTTAATCTCTATATATTCATGTAGTCCACTTGAAAGATCTGAATGCTTAAGACAGTGTATTTGTATTTTCCATGGAAAGCATTCTAATGCAAGTAAATATTTGGCATTTTGAAAGAGCTAGTTTACCTGGCCCCAGAGTAGTGTTCCCATGCCCAGGAAAATGGACCACAGCCACTGTTCAATAGAGAGTTCTGAGCAACTGAAAGGCTTCCCACCAAACTGCACAATAATTATCTGTGAAGAGCAACATTATTAAACAACACGTGTTAGTGACTTATTACTACAAAATTCACTAATGCTTCAAGATCACTACAGACAACTCTGCATTACAACACAGGATTTCCCATCTTATTAAGCATACACTTTCACCGTCTTGGCAGTTTGAGCAGGTTTCCAAACCTAAGCCATCTTTTCTCCTGCTTTTCAGTATTTCAAGAACTATCCACTTAGTTATTCTTCAAATGTTACACTCACAAAAACCTGTTGGCTACTTCTTTGTGCTTGCAGTTTTTCCCCTTCATTTCACATTTATGGCAGGTGTTCAATGCTACAAATTTACAGTCAATATTTATTATATGAACACTTATCTCAGAACCAAGTTGATCAATAAACTTCTAATAACACAAGGCGTAGATTCACAAGACATGAAACATTTAAGAAATAATTCAACAAAATATTACTATGTATCCCAGTGTTAAATGTCATCATGGTGTGACATGTTATGTAGTAAGTCTTGGGGGGAGTGGGCAAAGATCTCAAAAGCTAAATTAAATAAGCTCCTACTGACTTACCTATTACAGCAACCCGTACAGGCCCTAATGAGCAAGGTATCCCTCTGCATAGGAATTATATGCATGAAAGTCTGCCCTGGAGAATCAACAATTCAAGTAGCGGGACAGGTGTGAAAAGGAGACAGTATTGACCATTAACTAGGACACTTGACAGCTGAAAAGCCCAACAGCATTTTCTTTTATTAACACAGAATAAAACACTTAGACGACAACTCAGGAGTTACTTATTTGGGAGGGCATTTACTCCACCAAGTTTATAAAGGGAACACAGTTGCAGCCAGGGGTAATTTCTACATATTTGGCTTTGTTGCACAATAACAGTCAGTCTGATGAATATGCAACCCTAAAAATAAGAGTAGCTTCTGAAGAGGTGTCATCTAAAGAAACCTAAACCTGGGAGAACAAGTGAACTAAGTTTACATGAAGCCGAAGTGCATACATTTGCATTGCTTGAACTGCTATGAATATGGTCAGCTTCATGGACTCTCAAGTCTAAGGAGAAGCTTAAGGTGTGGGTTATATCTTAAGTCAAAATGAAAAGGAGTTCTGAAAAAAAGTAGTATACCTACTTGTTGGTTACTTCTTCTGATGAATTAAAAGTAAGGCCATTCAGAAGGTGAAACTATTTCTTCTAAATTACTTTCTTTAGATTAATTTTTGACTTTGTGTTTCTCAACACCAATGTGCTAACCCAATCAATTTCAGATAATTTAATTTGTTAGTATATATTGAGTTAACTAACGAGCTTCTACATATCAGCCTAGATGCACTGACAGAAGGTCCCTAGACATCAGTGTTTTTCACATCAAAACAACACCTAAACCAGCAGCATCTATACAGATAACCAATTTCTCCATCAGGAAGATAAAAACTGATACTTAAGTTTCTAGAGCTTATTTATGTCCTTATCAAGAAGATATGAAAAGTTGTCACTTTTTAATAATTAAATGGGCTCTCATTCATATGCACAGGCAGATATTATGAGGAAGAGTTTTGACTATGGGGGAACATAACTTCTTCACAATTTGTCATGAGAGTAGGACACTAAGATCAAACTGAAGGTCTAGAAAATTCAAAAGGTAAATATGAGTACATTCCAATTTTGCCAATTTCAAAGAGGTCTTACCTGAAAACCCTCTCAAGCAGCACTTCCAAGTGATTTACAGTGTGTTTGACACTGAAGGATTTTCACATTGCAGAAATTAAATGCCTGGCAGTAGTTGATTAGAATTTCCAAAAGTGGGAAACTACATCAGTATACTAAGTGCATTTTCCACCCACCCCCCAAGAAGTTACTTACCTGCACAACAAATGTCCCCAGAACAATAGAACAGAAGATAGCGTTGTTAAAGATTCCTTCAAAAACGTTTCTTTCCCCATGAATTTTTCGGGCATTAATTTCATTAAAAAGCTGCATCATCACAAATGTATTAAATACAATAGTATAATGCTCTGAAGGAGGAGCGTGCAGAGGTGCATTTCTTCCACTATCGATATCAAAAATTTTCTCACCTGTGTATAAAAGGCATTTAGTCAGCAGCTTAATTAGTGTCTTTACACACACAATAAAAAAACTAGTTTTAAGATCACATCTCTATACAACTTTTACAATAACCTTGTAAAGCCTCAGTGTTCTTACCAGCAAACAGGAGCGTGAAGACCACTACGAGCTGGTAGAATGCATGACCTAAAATGTTCTTCATCATTGTACGAGAAATCAAGGGTTTGTTTCTACCATAAGGCTTTCGCAACAGAAGAGCTTCAGTGGGTGGTTCTGTTGCCAGGGCAAGAGAAGCTAATGTGTCCATGATGAGATTTACCCACAGCATCTGCACAGCTTTAAGTGGAGAATCCTATAAAGATAGATACATAAACCCTCCAATATAAGTGATCAAATTGCAGCTATTTAAGGCATTTATCATACAACATGGGCATGTTCTGAAGAGCATTATTTTATTTGGACTAGTATTTAACTGAAAGTTTGAATTCGAGTTAATCAGTCATGACATTTTCAACCTGTATTAGCTGAAACAATCCACCACCAGTACGTACTTGTGTTATGCATGCTCCTGTAAAAGCAACAATTACTGCTACTACATTGACAGTAAGCTGGAACTGAAGAAATTTGGAGATGCTGTCATACACGTTTCGTCCCCACATAACTGCTTTAACAATACTTGTGAAGTTGTCGTCTGTAAGGATAATATCAGAAGCTTCTTTAGCTACATCTGTTCCAGCAATACCCTGGTAGAAAAAGAAAAACACTATGAAATATAACAGGATGCACTGACACGTAATAGAAGGTATTATGCCCTTGCTCAGCATTCACTTTGATGCACAATGTCTGAAGGACTATTTTAATGTGAGCACTTAAAGTTCTACTGAATCAAGTTTGACTTTCAAGTTCTACTCAAGCATGGGAAAATGTAAACAAAAAAAGGTAATGTCATCTGTAAAATAAAGACATTAATAATAAAAATCATCAAGCTGACAACATAGACACTGTGTAGGTTCTCCCAAAGAAATGTCACTGAACCCTGTTCAAGTTAAAGCCCACCAGATGGTGCAGTAGTACAGTTTAGTCTATGTCCTAAGGAGTTTGTTATATGTATTCCTGCATCAGGGCAATGCATGTGTTCATAACACAGCAGAATTAGACACATTATCAAAAACCTGATGCAGAAGAGCAGTGGCATTAAATGGTAGAATATGCAATGTCATAGCATATGACACTGCAATGCAATATGACATTCTTAAATTGGAAGATGAAAACAAATCTGCCCCTGACAGTGCCAACTACAGCAGCTATACAACAACAGAAACCAGATACTTGTTAAAACAAGACAGTTACAGTCTAGAGAACATTTCATGTGTAGCTGTCAAATTTGTAAGTTATGCTTTTGAAAAATGCTCTTTGAGAATGACACAAAAGCTCTTCCTCTTCTCATTTTTTCCTTCAAGATTAGCATCTGAGTCAGTGCATGTGGTGTAGGAAGAGTGTGGTCTTTGTTCCTTCAAATGCTTAATAATGAATTTTTAAAGACTAAAGTGACCTACTGGCACCAGACTGGACCTTTTCAGCTTAAGACTGAGGAGGAATCTTGAGGAATCTATCTATAGTGCTTTGAAAGAGAGAGAAGAAAGCTCAATCCTACGTACTTAAGACTAGTTTATCTAGTATTAGCACTTAAAACCAAGTTTGTTTTAATTGAGAGCCTGCAATAAATTAGTGCTTAACACAAGGTAAATCTAGGCTAAGAAGTTCTACCCCGAGAAGCTCATTTTCATGGGTTCTGTCCAAGACTTGGTTTGGCTACCATTTGAAAGGGTGTTTGAAAATTTAATTTGAGAAAGCCAAGTAATCTAAGAAACCCTCCAGACAAATGCAGATTCTAGATTGTCATAAAATGCTCTTACTTCAGTTGTACTAGAGATGTCTCTTAGTATAGCCTCCAAAACCATTCTAAACATTAACTGGCAGTCTCTCTCATTATAGTCTCCCTATTCCTATGAATCATTTCATGAAAAACAGATTAATAAGCTCATTCCATATTGCATATAAGCTTTAGTGAAAGTCAACATAGTATGCTTTTTAACACCTAAAGTCATTTTGCCATACATTGACCAGAACTCATTTCAGAAATCTTCAGTAATTCTGTTCCCACATTTCGTAACAAGCCTTTGTGTAAAAAGGTTTTGATCTGCAAGTGACTGGGGATCTGCAGTTTTTAAATTTTATTCAGTGGCAAATGCCACAAGGACATTTTTCATCAAACAAAAACATGGTTAAATTGTAAGACTAAGGAAGGAAGAAAAAGTAATTAGTATTAAGTGTGAGAGATGTTGACTCTTAACTTAGTTGTATATTAGGCTCATTAAACAAGCAAGGATGTTTTATCTTCAAGTGATTTGATAAGCTATTTTATCAAAATAGGTCTCCAAAATAATGAAGATTAAAAAAAAAAATCATACCATAGCAAATCCAACATCTGCTTTCTTCAGAGCTGGACCATCATTGGTACCATCACCAGTTACTGCTACAACTTGCCTCTGTTCAAAGACAGTGCTGTCAATTATACCTAAAACAAAATGATATCATGGTGTTACAGTTCAACACTGATAACACAGTACAGATTAAACCCAAAGAAACCCAGTTTTGTCTTCCTCAGAGTCCAAAAAAAAAATAAAATCCCACTACTCAGTCCTAGATGTTATTCTAGAAACAGGAAAAAAAATACTCTAGCTTTACTTAGAAGCTCAGATAGTTTTTACTTACCTTTTACTAGAGTGTGTTTGTCAGTGGGAGAAGATCTTGCAAGAACACGAAGCTTTGGCCAAATTTTATCTATTCGCTCTTGCTCTATCTGCAAAAACAGCATTGGTTATTATACTTTACAGTTAGGAGACTTAAAATATCTGCTGATCTACTTTACATGATCAGTATGCTTACCTCTCCTTTTTCATTGCGTATTCTCCTGTTAAAGTCTTTGCCCTCTAAACACAGGAAGTCTTCACCAGGATTCAGAATACCACATTTTAATGCAATAGCACGAGCAGTGTTAATGTTATCACCAGTGACCATACGTACAGTTATACCTGCACGTTGACACTTTTTTATTGCATCAGGTACCTGTAAGCCAAAAAAAACCAACCCACAGCCTCAGACACTGTACATACAAATCTAGACATATGAATAAAAGAAATGTTTTTGGCTCAATCCAGGATAGCTCTTATTTTATAATCAAGACTGTTATGGAACATTTTAAAAAAGTAAGTAGCTTACTGTAATTCTTTTCCTGAAAAACACACAAATGGCAATTAGGGCAAAGGAGCTTTGTTCTTGTTACGTCCTGTTCTCTGCCCCCCTCCTCTCCTCCTTAATTTTTCATATACTGCAGTATTCAAAACTACTACCAAAACCCTCATGACATATTAGGCTGTAGTATTCAAAGGTATAAGTACTGGCTTTTTATTTATGATTATGTGGAATAAACTACAGCTCACACTCTAATACTTCACCCATGACTTTTAGTGTGAAGTAATGCTAGTGCAGATTGGACTGGAGTTCCACTTACACGTGGCATAAAGGCTTTCACCACTGAGAAATACTGCCCTCCTTAGACCTTAGGTACAAGCCAGACTTCTTACTTCAGTTCTCAGTTGACAAACCCTCATTATTCTGCATGAGAAGCTGGCAACCAGCACAATGGCTAGTATTATCCTAAACAATACTCCTAATATTCCAAGTGGTAAAAAAAATTACAAGTTATTCCACCTACTGAGACCCTGCACAGTAAGCGCCTTAAGTCATTAGTTTTTACAGAGCTTCAGTAACACAGCATAAGTGACATTAAGAAGTTTTAATCTCTTTTATAGCCCCATTAACTTTCCCTCAAGAAATTAATTTTCATTTATCAATTATGCTTAGGGCATACAATAGCAATTCAGTTTCTTGCACTCTCTGCATGACGAACAGCATCAAGATCAATTTGTAACAGAATCACTGCAGTTCAGTCAGTGACCCTACCTCAGGTCTCACAGGATCTTCAATCCCAACAACAGCAATGCACGTCAGACCAGTAACAATATCATTTTCATTGTCCCATTCTGGCTCAGGTTCCCCTGCTGGGAAGTCTCTGAATGCCAGGCAGATGGTTCTGAGCCCTTCAGAAGCCATTGGCTCAATTACAGTTTTCACGATATCATCACGGTCCCTAGGTCTAAATACCTTTGGTTCTCCATTAGCACTCAGTATTTTGAAGCACCTGAAAAGAAAGGTTGAAAGAGTTACCACAGTTTTACCAGAAGTTCAGCCTGTTGAACGAGTTTTTAGTCAACTCCAGTAAGTTTACATAAGCTTTGTTTTCACTAGACGCACACACACACAAAAAGCCAGTAGCGGCATCTCTAAGGTAATCTCCATATGCACTTAATCTCTTCCCAACTGCAAAACATACTAGCTGTAGAAAGTTCACTAAGCCTGTCATCCCAGGATGAAAATAATGTCCAATGAATTTAGGACACAAATATTAGTTGCCTTTCAGCCATTTCTCCATTGTATGTAAACAAGACTAGTGTCTGCACCAGTTGAGTCAGTCGATCCAGTTCCAAGTTCAACAAATAATCCCACCTTGTTAACAGTTACAGAAGCCTCAGCAGTACCGTATGTTTCAGAACATGCATGTGGTGTTTGAACAGCTGAAAGCACTAAACTTATTACCCTAAAAGCGAACTCTGGTACTATGATGAACCAATGCTATCAGTAAGAGTAGTAAGGCATTACTCCTCCAGCCCCCAGTCTAAGTGCAGAAAATTCAGAGAGCACCTGGCACAGAGTTCTTAATGTGAAGTATTCAATGAAAAACAAATACTTAAATCTGATTTGAATATTTGTACAAGAGACTAGATTCAACACTATGTACACTTTAACATTTCAACACATGCTCTTTGTTACGTTTCTTCATGCCAAAGATGTCACTGCTTTCATAGACAGCATACATACCTTACCAATACTGATGCCATGAATATAACACTACCAAATATTTGAACAATAAATTTTTCATCTGCATCCTTAGCAAAGTTTTGCCATAAAGCAATGCCACAAGCATTTGTTTTACAAATAAGCACTAGTGTGGCACTGAAAAAAAAGGTAAGAAATTATTAATATCAAGTTCAGACCTGGCAGATCTGCTAAGATGACTACTTTTACATTTATGTATTTAGTCCAAGGGTTTAGGGAGTTCCCGGATGCAGTACATATAGAAAAAGTTTCCACCTCAGTCAGGAAATGAAAATGAAGCGCTCCTTTAAAGCTTTGTAGCATTCATCATAACTGAAATTTGAAGTCTATCCTAATTTCCTGATTTTGGTTATCTATTCAAATGTCAGCAACCACCAAGGATATCTTGTGTTACCTGCAGTCATAGGGCTTGTGATAAATTCAAAGCGTTCCAAGACGACTAAATGGAAGCCAATAAGCCTTATGCAAAGATTTCATTGAAACTCACTTCAAATAATTGACATGATGGTAAGGAAAGAATAAAACTGCTCTGCTTGAAAAAGTTTGCTGCATTTCTTCTACACTTATTAGCAACTCATTTGTGTCTTATAAATATTCATGTATAAGCTTTCAATGCTGAGGAATAGTTCATACATGCGATAAAGAATGAGCAGCACAACTCACAAACCAGGTTACAAGCTCTGAGATTAATTTCTGGCACTGCATAGGCAGTGGGTAAAGAAAGTGGCTTATGATGCTAAGACTTTTTCCTAGTCCATGCATACTCTGAAATAGTTTTGGAATTACAACTATTCTGATAATACCCAAATCAGTTTAGATTTTCTTGTTCTTTGCCAAATGTCCTTATTATTTATTTTCTTATCTCAGTTATGAAGCCAAGTGAAGAGTCTGGGATGAATGAGTTCTAGTAACTTCTACAGTTCAATTGCTCAATGAGATAATAAGGTACAAAATACTTCTGAAGGTAGAAGTAATGCAAATATAGGCTTACTTATTCACTGAGGAGACTTGGCTTAAAATCTAGCTATGAAAAAATTCACATCTAATCTAAACTCCATATCAAAAGAACAAGAGTCTTTTAAAGATTGACTTTTTCTTGCCAGCACTAAGTTGAGGAGAAGGAATATTTAATCTTTTTTCTTTAGTGCATTAGTCCTTTCCCAGATAGCAATTTAGGAGGGGCTAATAGCAAGCAAAAAAGTAAATTGAACTGATTAACATAACTATGTGCTACTCAGACTAGATATAGTCTGATTTTACAACCAAAACCAGACTGACTACAACTGCTGTTCCTAGAGAACATGATGCATACACACTTGACTTCCCTCCTCACCTAGTTAGGAGTTACCACGGCCTTCTTCACACCTAAAGGTTTGTCCCAATGGTTACTAATCTCTCACTAATAGTCTAATCTCATTCTAATAAATCCTCTATAGATGGGCAGATGCATAAGGAAGCAATTTGGTTTTTGTCACATTAAAAACGCTCAAGTTTCTCCATTGGCCAAAGTCAACCTTCTGTTAAAATTATCAACTTGGACGCCAACTTGCAGAGTCTTTTGATACTAAAAGTAATCACTTCTCAAAGGCACAAGTCCTTCCTGGAATTTAGACATATCAGCTATTGGGACTTAACTGGAAGGTGGGTGAGCATTTTGACCAACCACACATAAAACTATAATAGTTTAACTAGTGAATAGATTAATTCATAGACATTTACTCATATCAGAACAGAATTCATAAGTTAAAATTAATCATGACCACCTCTTTTTTTGGCGGG